TCAAAAGATCAGCTGACCAGATTCACTTTCTTAATCTTCGTATATTTGCGACACAGTGTTCATATTCCTGTGTTTGTGTTACAATACGTTTATTTATTTTATTCCAGATTATCATGACTCGGATTACATTTACATAAATCTAATTTAATCACTGTTTTTTTTAGTAATGCTATGGATGCTGATGGACGGTTTGATTTTTTTGGAATATGCGAGAAAGCTATGAGACATGGTATATCTTTCTATTTTCCAAACAAATATTCTATTAATCATCGGTTGATGACAGAAATGATAATCAACAAATAAGCGTTTAATAAGTTGGACAAAGCACCTGGTCAAATCAGTGGTGTATGTCATATTTTCTGGTTTTAATATTCATCAAACTTCATGGTTTAATTAAAACAGTAGTGAAACCTATGCATAATTATGTACGCAAGTTAAACGTGAAATGCCGGCATGTTAGATTTATAGACGTTTAGTGGTACGGTCGTGAAAAAACAACAAGCCAGGAATTTAAAACAACCATAAATACCATCAGATTAAGAAGGTTGCCATGCATTGAGGTAAAAAAGCACACATAAATTACAACGTGGTGGCAGTAATGACGATTTTGTTCACACAGTGTCTGAATTGTAGAAATCTAATCTGCATATCAAAGGTATCGAGAACATCAACCTAAGTTGCCAGTCTTTACTTCAAACACGATTGACCTTTGTGTTGACCTGTATTGTGTACCGCATTCCATGGTATTCAATGGATTTTTGAGCGGTTGATGTAGCGTTTCTATTCAAAAGAATGACACACAGACACAATTTTAACCATGTAATGTTTACACTCATTTATATTTGTCGTAATTTTGTGTGAAATTTCGTTATTTACCATGCACAACGATAGGAATAGCCATAAATACATAATATACGGTTCTGGTCGTTTATTTAATTATTTTTGTAAATCTACACATATTTGTTTGTTCTCATGCTAATTGTAAACCACCAGTAAAAAACAGATTTTAGGAAAATTACATTTGTTTAAATGAAGCAGTGTTTCACACTCTCGAGTGCATACATGAAATTATGTATGCAAGGTAAACATGAAATGCTGAAGTCATAAATTGAGGTCAAAGTGCAATGAAGCATTTACTCAAGAACACTGTGGCGGCAGTATTGCCAATTTTGCTCACTGAGTGTCTGAATTGTGGAAATCTAATCTGCATATCAAAGATATTGAGGACATTCACCTAAGTTGCCAGTCTTTACTTCACACACAATTGACCCCTGTGTTGACCTGTACTGAGTAGCGCATTCCATGGTATTCAATGGTTGTTGAGCTCTCTAAGTTAGAAGGTGTAGATTGGCGTTTCTAATCAAAAAATTACACACAGACACGCTCATTTATATATGACATGGATATGTGTAAAACGTCGTTGTTCACCATATGCAATGATAGCATAGTGTATAAATAAGAATGTATCTGTAACTCATAGCCATAGATAAATGATTATGTAAGACATTACTTTCGTTAATTAGTTTAGTAAATTCTCCACACGTGACTCTTTTAAGCACATTTTAAACAAGCAACCTTGTATTAATATGCAGAGTGTAATTTCTACAGTTGCATTTATATTGCTGTACCATATTTTGTAAACCCGCATTGTCTTAGCTACATAACTTTAACATATTTAGTAAACCGGTATTGTAAATCAGACTTTACACCTTAGTTAGCAATGAGCAGTTTTAGTCAAGGTGCAACGTCTGGAATTGACGAGGTGATAGAGTTCCACAATTATTGAGAGAAAAACAAATGACTGCCCACAAGGCTCAAGGAAAGGTTTCGAACCCACAGCATCATGGTAAAACATTCAATGGACGCTCGCTTAGCAGAGGACACAACCTGCATGGTTTGGTTAGCTGGTTTTAATATTACACAGGAGAAGTGTGGCCAGAAACACCATGGCTTGTCTTTCACTAATGCAATAAATCACATAAATTGCAACATAGTCAACGATCGGCCACTCCCACTGTCAGTCAGTTTGCCAGTAAAAAATAAGTATAAACATCTGAGATCTCGTAAATGTAGGCTGCTGAGACGATTTTGCATTAGCAAAAGTCACTTGAGAGACTTGATTGACGTAAACAAAATTTATACCTTTTTGATAAAACATTTTTTTAAATAAAAGAAATCACCTGTATATTTGTTACCAAAACTATCTGTAAAGATGTCAAATCGTTTGTGACAGTACAACGTGTTGAGGAAACACAGAATATTTTGTCTGCCAAGTTGGTGTACGTCGATTGAGTATGGACGGCGACTCGTAAAGCCAGTGACAAGGTCAAGGGTTATGAACCCGGAAATACAAATTCACCGATACTTTCAGCGATCAATGATGTTTATATCTCGTGTAGCCTTCCTGGTTGTTGTTTCAAGTAAGTTGCCGTATTCTTTACATAATTTTGATCTTAGTGATTGCGATTTGTGTGCTTTCGATATACTCCTTTTTACATCCAGCATAAGCGTAGCCAATACAATTAAACAAGTAGGAACACCAATTGTGTAGCTTAAGAATTGTCTCGATACGTACACATAATTGTGTATATGTATTCTCATAATTACTGTTCAACAACCCTTCCTATAATAACTTACCCAATTGTTCTACGCTACCATTAATCATCACTGGCCAGATCCACTGGATTTGCAATATAGAATTTTCTCTAAGATGCGTGATTTTGGAAACCGAATACGAGTTTCGAGCAAACTGACGTGTCGCGGGACTACCACGCACACCACAACACTTACAACCCCAAACTAATCCGAGTTTATAACTATATATTTTAAACTACGGATTTTAATGTAGAATACAACATTAAATATGGATGCAAATTGTAATATTTAAGATTGTATTAAATATCTGTTATATTGCATTAAAATACCAATGAGAATCAAATATCAAAATGTTACATATCAAATTACTTGGTTGCATGTGTAGAATGTTGTTGAATTTTCAAACTACCATTAATCTAGTATTTTAAAAATATTTTTAAATATTTGATTGATTTGTGATATTTGATTGATGTTTTGATTCTTGTTACCAATTGCCTGAGTGTTTATTTTGTGTTCATTTATTTTGGTGATAGTGACACTGGTAACTGTTCTGATCATTGTGGCTAATCTTGAATTTTCAACCTATAATATTACAGCATACTACCTCTACATATTACCTTGAATATCTTATACGAAAGTATTGTATTAGTTGCGCCGCCACAGTTAAAATAAAGAAATGTCCAGCCAAAAATAATACACTTTTTAGTATAGGAAGTGAACAAAATATAATTCGTATATCTTTACTGTAATATGAATAACCACACAAGGGGCAGAGTATATGACTCGCATCTGAACTGTTCACTATATAAACACAACCGCTATCGCCCATGTGTATATACCGTGAAACTGTTCCAAATCTCTATGTATACTCGTCTCTGGAGGACGGGGTTTATTCCTTAATTATATCATGATGTCACTTCAATACACAGTGACGTGTGGTTTTTTTATCATGACATAATTTAAAGTATCAATGATATGATTTATTGATACTAAAGTATTACATTACTACTGAGTAGCATTTTTATTATACTACCGTTCTATAATTTCAATCCACAATGTTTTTTAATATGTTTTGCTATAATTTTAATTTGCCATAACTTAAAACTACAACGGCATGTAATAAAATGGTAATAATGAAACCAATTCATTTTAGCATTAGCAGCAGCACAATCTCCTAATATCCTGATTGGTCCTGAGGATACATGGGCGTCTGTCGGAGAGACAGTGGTGATGAAATGTACAGTATCAAGTAGACAACCTAAGTGGTATAGAGTGGTACCTGGTGGCAGTGACATGCAGTTATCAGATGGAACATCAGTATTGAATCCGTACCAGATAGTAGGAGACCAATCTAGTGGAGAATACTTCCTACAAATACCAAATGTTCAAGTCAGTGATTCACATACATATCAGTGTCAACTCTTTAATGCAGATCCACCATATATACAGGCATCATTGACAGTTATAGGTAAGATTTTATTTAGAGGGAAAAGGAGAAATTTGACCTGCACATGCGCATTTGTCAGTCAGCTGGTAGTTTTATAATACGGAGAAAATATTAACACTTAGTAATAGTGTTCGAAAAAATAATTTTCCGAAACGTATAGACTTTTGGATTGGGATATAATTATGTGCCTATGATGTTGGTCAGAATGTCCAAAATTATAAAATTATAACCATGATTTAAAACATATTGTTGCGAAATTACCCCCGCCCCCTCCCCCACACACACACAACAAAAAGCAATGGTGCCCGGCATGCCTTTGTTGTCGCCTTCCTAAGATAAGAGTGATGATTTCTCATTTGCCTGTTTTCGTTCGTTGTGGGTACGTCTGAGCCCGACAAAATATAAATAATGCAACAACCATAAAATCACGTCACTGTTTTGGATAATACCTGAATATTGTATATTGTATTTACATAATGTATGTTTGATATAAATAGTTGTTGGCAACATCCGGTTAAAACAATACAATAACGAAACTATCACAATTACTGAAATAACACTAGGAACAGTATTAGTGCTACACAAATATCAATAATATTGAGCACTGCTGAACACTATCTTCACGAATCTTATCTTATGCAACTTATCATCACGGTAATCGCGAAACTGACCTTTATAGCTTTGTAATTTCACGTCTTATAGCATGGAAAATAAAATCGGTAAGCCGCAGAATTCTCATTACCTCGAATACAGCGCGCCGGCTTAATTCGTCACTAAGCACGTGACTTTCGAATTTCCGGGGTTTTGCGTAGTAAAGTACAAACCACACTACGCGCGGTGTACTGAACACAATGGTAAAGAAAATGCTATGAACCGCCTGTTCAGCCATCTTAGATGTTGCGTCCGTGTATTGTGTTTTTTCACCGAATAAAATTGTACAAATGTAGTTTTCGACGTCTTTTCGATGTTTGAACTTATGTTGTTCTTTTTCGCATGTCACTGGAACACATCAACCCGTCAAATTGTACGGTACATTGGTTGACCAATATATTAAACCTCAAAACATAACAGTAATGTTTGAAATACAATTCGTACAGCCCATGTCTATATAATTGCTACTTTTTCCCGGGAATTTTTTTTTAGTGATGCAATGCGCGAAACACAGAAAAAAAACACGTTTAAAATACGCGCTTGTTTTGTATTCGTTTTGTGCCATTGTTATTATTGCGTGTATTATCGAATGTCACAGATTATTACTGCAGCTGAGCCAAACAGTGATATATTAAAGTTTTACATGATAAAATTGAGTAGCAACAAACGAATCGAACATCACAATGTACTTAGTTGAGATACTACAGAACACTACATATGAATCGTAACATATACTAATTAGAGAAAGTATATAAAGGGCAATAAAGCGTTGAACTGCTTGGCAAAAATATATCTCCACAACTTGTACAGAAAGCGGAATTACTAAAAATAATTTGCAACCAAACAATCTGCTGATCATTATGAACACAGAGGGCGATATACCGTCATGGAGTATGATACATTTTACGGTACATAATTAATGATATTTATAGTAATTTTAATAATTTGGGTTGGTCGATGACTACATCGCCGGTATGCTCTGCTGTTGGAATTGCCTAGTTTCATAACATATCGATGACAGTTTACGAGATTCTCAAAATCAGGATATTGACCTGATAAATATCGTAGAGCTAAAAATGAAGTCACACGAGACACTGCTGCGTTACGAAACGCGACCAGAACAGTTGAAACTGTTAATTAACTGTTAAATATATGTTTGTTTGTTTTTATTTTGAAACATAACAAATAATCACATTTAAATATAACTTTGTATTCGAATACATTTCTTATTCAAATCAGGCAGTGGTAGTTAAACATATCCTATAGACTGACTTGAGATTCCTGACTCACTATTGTCTAACTAAAACAAACTTATGAACTAACATAACGACTCATTTAACCAAGTCAATATGGTTTTATACACTCACCTAATGATACCAAAATCAATAAGATTCACTATACGTGAGCGACATACATTGGACATGCGACTTACGGGTTATTCAACGCTTTACATCGACGCTTGAATCAGTGGAGAAGAGTGGTACGAGAAGTAATTTATGTCTATAAGCGACGCTCTGCATACGCGAATAGTTTAATCAAAGCGTGCACATTAGCGCACCACAGTTACATACATTCTGATCTTACTCTATCTATCATATAATATAACTTGCATTGTTTATAACTTAAATGTGTTATACGAATTTAATATTCTATGATTTTATAATAAACATAATTTTATTGACATCACACTTACTTTTGAAATAGTCAACGTAAATATTAAACTAGTATTTACTTTCAAATTCTTCTTTTATCGTGTGTGTATATGGGATGGAAAACCATTGGACATGTTGTTTCTTGCTATATTACATAACGGGTTGTCAAATTAGATAGGATAGCAGAATATGATTGGGACAGCAAGTTCACACAATATAACAAAATGTTTGATGTCACGATTATGATCTCTGCTATATATGATTATTACTATTATGAAATGTTGTGACTAACATGCTAACATTCCCTGCTGTTTTGTATATAAGTTAACAGATAATAAATACAAACCATGAGCTGTTTTAGGTGCCCCGTGGAATGTAGCATGCAGTTCATTTGCCATCGGGGAAATAACATGGCAATGAGTATTTAGCATAAATAATAAAATATTGAGATGATTTGGCTCTAAGAAATTTTGCAATAGGACTTATAAATTTATATACATAACACGCGTCACGATATTGTTTAATAAATGTAATATCTTTTTGTGAGCCTTCTATCGCTACCAAATATAATACAGTTGCTATACTGTATGAGTGTGTCGAAAGAGTATTTTATTCAAATATAAATATTAACCTAAGTATAATATACTTAATTAAAATATAAAGTGTTTTACTGCAAGCTTGTTGAAATATACTAAACATGCTGCTGAGTTTTTCAAGCGCCCTCCCACCAACGTGTAAGTTCATTGGTTGCATTTTAAGACCTGGACTTTGAGAACGAAATATACAAAGCAAATAACGACGTGTGTCACCCCTGAAAATGTACTACAATAATATCTCAAAAATACTAGATATTGTAATATAATTGGCGTGAATGCAATGAAACAGAACTGTACCCGTATTATATGATTTGTATAAACTATTGGCAATTTCTCACTCATTGCAAAAGGAAAAAAAACGTAGCAAAAATTGAAATAAATCTGCAACACAATATAAACATATATTTAATGCATATTTCACAGTACGTTTGGGTATTCAGTAGCGTATATAAATAAAAATTCTCTGGAATAAATAGCATTCCATTGTTTACTGTTTATAGCCTCTCGTAAATAAATTACTATTTCAGATACGGTACCAAGTTGCTCTGTGACTGGAAGTGTTGGAGGCAATAAAGTTATACATGGTGATACTGTATCATTACAATGTTCTGCAAATCAAGGTGTACCCCCAGCTGTGTTGGTATGGTTACGAGATGGGGTTGTACAATATACAGGAACAACAAGTCAAACTACAATACAGTGGAATACTGCAATAGAAAGAGAAGATGACGGGAAGTTATATAAATGCAGTTTACAACACAGTACACTAACCAATGATATATCCTGTCAGTCTGTAATACAATTTGATGTTGAATGTAAGTAATTATTGTTGTAAATGAATTCAGCAATATGTTTATATCATTTGACAAGCGTTTCTTTTTCATCTAAATGATACAATGTTTCTTTTCAATTATTTCTAGATGACCCTGTTATCAGTGTCAGTATTCAAAGTGGTAATAATCAAGGGCAGATAAAGGAAAATGATGACTTTGTTGCTACATGTGTTGTTGATGAGAGTCATCCAGATGTTGACAGTTACTCGTGGAGTGGTCCCGGTGGGTTTACTGCAAATGAGAATATGATATCATTATCGGATATAAAGCGATCAAGTCATGGTAGTTATACATGTACAGCTAGGAATACATTTTATGATGACAGTCGAGGTATAGGAACAACACAGCTAAATGTTGATGTACAATGTAAGTACAGTTGTGTGGAAATGTTGTCATGGTAGTTATACATATAAGGCTAGGAACACATTTTTTGATGGCAGTATAGGAACAACACAGTTATATGTTGATGTACAATGTTGTTGTAAATAGTATGTAAAATGCATTACTACTACTGCTATTACCTTGATTTATTTATGTGTCATTTGATTACAATCAATAAATTGTGCTTTTCCATGCTTTAAAAATATGCAAAAGTGTATACTTTTAAATTTGTTACTAAAGTTCAACATCAATCTTTTTCCTGTGGAAATGTGGACATTTCCCACATTATGGGCATTACCAAAGAATTTATTTTCTTTTTTATAACTGATTTGAAATATTTTTAATATCAATTGTTTCATGTTTTCATAATATGTTTACGTACACTGTAGACAGTATGTTAAAATAAGATCTAGTTTTCTGTTTTCAGATGCACCAGTTGTTATTCTACAAAATACTAATAATGGTAAAGTAATAGAACACAGTACATATAATGCAGAGTGCAGTGCTTTATCAAATCCATCTAGTAATTCCATTG